ACTCCATCTCTCCTATCCAGCTGTCCCTTCCACAGAATTATCCCCTTAGCATAGAAACACATTCTAGAATCTCCTGTTTACAAAGAAAAAACAAAAACCTTTCCTTAGAGAATTAAGCATTTATCCTGTCTTTTAAAGGAGAAACTGTGGTTCATTTCTACTTGAAGCTCCTTTTTGCAGAAAAATGCCAGCTAAAGCCATGTGCGGTGGCTCACGCCTGTAATCTCAGGACTTTGGGATGCTGAGGCAGGTGGATCACCTGAGGTCAGGAGTTTGAGACCAGCCTGGCCAACATGGTGAAACCCCATCTCTACTAAAAATACAAAAAATTAGCCGGGTGTCGTGGTGGGTGCCTGTAATCCTAGCTACTCCAGAGGCTGTGGCAGAAGAACCAGGGAGGCAAAGGTTGCAGTGAGCTGAGATCATGGGACTGGACTCCAGCTGGGGCAACAAGAGCAAAATTCCATCTCAAAAAAGAAAAGAAAAAAAGAAAAATGCCAGCTAGATGTGAGCACACAGCAAGATGGTGGCTGCCAGTCCAGTGTAGTGGCTCACGCCTGTAATTCCATCACTTTGGGAGGCTGAGGCAGGCAATTATCTGAGGTTAGGAGTTCAAGACTAGCCTGGCCAACATGGTGAAATCCCATCTCCACTAAAAATACAAAAAAATTAGCCGGATGTGGTGGCGCACACCTGTAATCCCGGCGTGCCTGTAAGTCCAGTCCTTGGAGGCTGAGTCAGGAGAATCACTTGAACTCAGTAGGTGGAGGGTGCAGTGAGCTGAGAACATGCCATTACACTCCAGCTTGGGCAGCTGAGCAAGATTCCATCTCAAAAAAATAAATTAAAAAAAAAGGAGGTGGCCGCCTACAGGACAAGAGAAGAGGCCTCAGAATAAAACCTACCTTGCCAGCACCTTGATCTTGGACTTCCCAGACTCCAGAACTATAAGAAAAAGAAAGAAAGAAAGAAAAAAATGTCCTCTAATAAATATAGAAGGAATGTGAGAACTGGAAAAACTCAATTGAAAAAATTTTTATTTTATTTATTATTATTTTTTAAAAATATCTTTATTGTTTCAGCCACTTCAAATATGTATGTATGTATGTATGTGTGTTTTTTTTTTTTTTTGAGATGGAGTTTCGCTCTTGTTACCCAGGCTGGAGTGCAATGGCATGATCTCGGCTCACCGCAACCTCCGCCTCCTGGGTTCAGGCAATTCTCCTGCCTCAGCCTCCTGAGTAGCTGGGATTACAGGCACACGCCACCATGCCCAGCTAATTTTTTTTTTGTATTTTTAGTAGAGACGGGGTTTCACCAGGATGGTCTCAATCTCTTGACCTCGTGATCCACCTGCCTCGGCCTCCCAAAGTGCTAGGATTACAGGCGTGAGCCACCACGCCTGGTGAAAAAATTTTTAATTTTATTTTTTGAGATGGAGTCTCGCTCTGTCCCCCAGGCTGGAGTGCAGTGGGGTGATCTCAGCTAATTGCAACCTCCGCCCCACAGGTTTCAGTGATTTTCATCCTTTAGCCCCCTGAGTAGCTGGGACTACAGGTGGCCGCCACCAAGCCTGGCTGATTTTTGTATTTTTAGTAGAGACGGAGTTTGACCATGTTGGCCAGGCTTGTCTCGAACTGCTGGCCTCAAGTGATCTGCCTACCGTAGCCTCCCAAAGTGCTGGGATTACAGGAATGAGCCACTCACTATGCCCAGCCAGGAAAAACTCCATTTTGTAATCCCAATTAAATCATCCATTTAAGGAATCATGAATGGTTGATTGATGGTGGTGTCTTACCACCTGTAATCCCAGCACTTTGGGAGGCTGAGGCAGGCGGATCACTTGAGGTCAGGAGTTCAAGACTGGCCTGGCCAACATGGCAAAACCCTGTCTCTACTAAAAATACAAAAATCAGCAGGCATGGTGGCATGCGCCTATAGTTCCAGCTACTCAGGATGTTGGGACAGGAGAATCACTTGAACCTGGGAAGCAGAGGTTGCAGTGAGCCAAGATCTCACCATTGCACTCCAGCCTGAGGGACAGAGAAAGATTCTGTCTTAAAAATAAATAAATAAATAATCATCAATGATGTCCAGCAGGGTCAGTTCCTGATGAGGGCTGTCTCCCTGACTTGCAATGGCTACCTTCTCACTATGTCCTCACACGGCAGAGAGACAGCAAACTCTCTGGTCTCTTAATTTTTTAAATTTAAGACAGAGCCTCACTCTGTCACCCAGACTGTGGTACAGTAATTTTTTTTTATTTTTTTTTTTTTTTGAGACAGCGTTTCACTCTTGTTACCCAGGCTGGAGTGCAATGGCGCGATCTCGGCTCACCGCAACCTCCGCCTCCCGGGTTCAGGCAATTCTCCTGCCTCAGCCTCCTGAGTAGCTGGGATTACAGGCACGCGCCACCATGCCCAGCTAATGTTTTGTATTTTTAGTAGAGACGGGGTTTCACCATGTTGACCAGGATGGTCTCGATCTCTTGACCTCGTGATCCACCCGCCTTGGCCTCCCAAAGTGCTGGGATTACAGGCGTGAGCCACCGCGCCCGGCTGTGGTACAGAAGTATGATCACAGCTCACTGCAGCCTTGACCTCCTGGCTCGATCGATCCTCCCACTTCAGCCTCCCGCGTAGCTGAAACCACAGGAATGCACGACTACACCCAACTAATTTTTTATATTTTGTAGAGACAAAGTCTCAGCATGTTGCCCAGGCTGGTCTGGAACACCTGGGCTCAAGTGATCCTCCCAATTTGGCCTCCCAAAGTGCTGGGATAACAGGCGTGAGATACCATGCCCAGCCTGGTGTCCCTTTTATAAGGACACTAATCCTATCAGATCAGAGTCCTACCCTTAAGACATCATTTAACCTCAATTACTTCCGTAAAGGCCTAGTTCCAAATACAGTCACATTAGGGGTTAGAGATCCAACATCTGAATTTGGGAAAGACAAAATTCAATTCATTACTGATGCTAAAACCACTAGGTGAAAAGTTTTGAAGAACAGCATGTTTGCACAGCGTGAAAGGAGCCCCACACAGATGATCTGGTATTTGCAAAGAGGATGGCTCTTTTTCAATGAAGAGATCTGGTGGATACCCCATACCAGTGCTTCCTATGTATGTATATAGCATCACTGTGAATAATTCTTTTTTTGGCCGGGCACAGTGGCTCACACCTTTAATCCCAGCACTTTGGAAGGCTGAGGCAGGTGGATCACATGAGGTCAGGAGTTCGAGACCAGCCTGGCCAACATGGTGAAACCCCATCTCTACTAAAACTACAAAAAATTAGCCAGGCGTGGTGGTGGGTATCTGTAATCCCAGCTATTCAGGAGGCTGAGGCAGGAGAATTGCTTGAACCCAGGAGGCAGACGTTGCAGTGAGCTGAAATCGCCGCACTCCAGCCTGGGTGACAGAACAAGACTCTGTCTCAAAAAATTAAAAAATAAAAATAAATAAATAAATAAAAGTTGTCATTAAAAAAGGCAGGATTAGAGGATGACTGTTTTGTATTTTAAGGGACTTTAAAGAGACATCACCACCAAATGTAATGTGTAAACCTTGGTTAGATTTCTTTGGTAAAAAGACCCAACTATCACTGTGCATATTAGTTGATGTGTTTTTCCCTCTCCCTCCATGACTTTGGGTTCCACTAGGTTTTGTCACACCTGTAATCCCAGCACTTTGGGAGGCCGAGGTGGGTGGATCATGAGGTCAGGAGTTCAAGACCATCCTGGCCAAGATGGTGAAACCTCATTTCTACTAAAACTACATAAAAAATTAGCCAGGCATGGTGGCAGGCGCCTGTAATCCCAGCTACTCAGGAGGCTGATGCAGAAGAATCGCTTGAATCCAGGAGGCAGAGGTTGCAGTGAGCCAAGATCTCACCACTGCACTCCAACCTGAGCAACGGAGTGAGACTCCATCTCAAAAAAAAAAAAAAAAAGAGAGAAGATAAAACAAGAATGAAGGAAGGACAAAACTTTGCTTAGGGGACAGGGATGACTTCTCAGAGGATTCTGAAGGACAAACAGGTTGCCCATAGGTTAAATCTCTGATTCGGCCTCCCACTCAGTGGCTCTGGTGCCAGGGGTGACACTCATTTTGGGGGAACCCATACAGCAGAACTCTGACCAGTGGGTGGAGTCTTGGGCAGAAAGGATTTCAGTTCAGGAGCAGGAAGAACAGCTCAGCAGCAGAATAACTGGTCCCAGGAGGTGCCAAGGTGAGCACGCAGAGGGGACTCACATGGACTGACCTCGTGCACGGGCAGGAGATGCATCCCCTGTGTAGGGACACCCACCGCAAGTCCCACCGCCAAGCTTTTGCCCAAAGGCCCTCCCACCTGGCAGCCTCTCTGTCCTCTTTTTTGCCCAGGCTCAGCCTTCGAGACGGCGGTATTTTCTCCCTTCTCTAAACCCTGAACCCTTCTTGTCTGCACCACCAGGGGTCCTGTGGCACGATGTGCCTTTTAGGGGCAGGCAACTCTGCCTGGGTAAGAAGCAAGGCCTTTGTCAGGCTGTGCAAACTTGAGCAAGTGTCTGCCTCTCTCTGGGCCCGTTTCCTTTTTTGTACAAGGATAAGGTGGGACAAGGTGCCACAGGAGGCCTGTTCAACCTTCAAATGTCTTGCTTGGAGTCTGGTCCTCTAGTCCTCTATGGCACTGGGGACTTCTAGGGGACAGGGATGATACTGGCTGAGGCCCCTGCCAGGACCCCCCAGGAACAGACCCGGCCCATCACCCCAAAGTGTAGAAAGCCTGTAGTGTTACTCTCACTTCCATCTTTGCTAAAGGCAGCTTGGCTCAAATTTAGGACCCACAAGTTACTGGCTGTGTGATCTTAGGCAAATGACTTAACAACTCTGGGCTTTAGTTTCCACACCAATAAAACTCGAATAGTAGTATCTGATTATTGGGATGAGGAACAAAGAAAATTATGGCTTCAAAAGCATCTTGTACATAGCAGGCATACAAAAAGCTGTCAGGTCTCCCTCCGGAAGTGTGGACATTGTCAGCTCCACTTCTGCGGTCGCGGATCAACAGTTGAGGAGCTCAGGCCCAGGACAATGGTGTGCATTCCTTGTGTCGTCATTCCAGTTCTGCTCTGGATCTACAAAAAATTCCTGGAGCCATACATATACCCTCTGATTTCCCCCTTTATTGGTCGTATATGGCCTAAAAAAGCTAAACAAGAAACCAATGATACAAACAAAGGCAAAGTAGACTGTAAGGGTGCAGACATAAATGGATTACCAATAAAAGGACCAACAGAGATCTCTGATAAAAAGAAAGACTAAAGCAATTTCCTAAAGGACCACATCACGTAAAAAATGGACCTGATAATATGAAGCATCTTCCTTGTAACTGTCTTTGACCTTTTTATCTGAGACCAGAATTCAGGATAGAAGTCTAGACACTTACCGGATACTAATCAGGAAATACATAATATCTGTATTTAAAATGTAGTTAGTTATATTTAATGACCTTATTCTTAAGTTCCTTTTTATTAATGTAGCTTTCATTTCTGTTGCTGTTGTTTTAATAATATGAAATAGAAAGTTTGTGCCAGTAGACACTATGTTACTAAATCAGCACTTTAAAATAAAAAAGAAAAAAGCTGTCAGGAGCCAGGAAGGGAGATCTGATGAGGAGTTTTGGAATCTCCCCATCACTACCCCAAATTCTAGTCTCTTCATCATCACAAGCTGCTTCATGCAGAGAGAAATACCTTAAATACTGTATGTCTAGATCTAAAGTAACCTGGGACATAGTAGGTGCTTAATACACATTTGTTGAATGACAGAGTAATCCTATAACCAATATCTTACTTGAGCCTTGAAGCAAACTGGTAAGGGGCAAGACAAAGATACAGTTATTATCTCTGCTTCAAAGGTGAAGCCGCTGCCCCTCAGAGAAGGAAAGTAACTTACCTAAGGTAACACAGCAGAGCAGGGCTTGGAACCCAGTTCCCTCCAGGTGCAGAACCCATAGTTACGTCCCCCATCCATGCAGCCACTTTACAGACAGATTGCTAGGCTCTGCCTGCACTCGCTCTCACATAGGAGTATCCTGGGGGAAGGTGCTTTGCCGAACACACAGCAGGGTAGGGAGGCCAACTGGCCTGTCCCAGGGGCCCCACTCTGCTCCCTGAATGACCCAGAGCCCCTGCTGAGTCACCGTGCTCCTTGGCTGGAGGCAGCTTGGCCTTGGCCTAGTTGCCCTTTTGCCAGCAGACCCACGGAGCCACAGGACAGGCGTCTCAGTGCAGTCCGACGGGGAACCTGGGCCAGGTACAGTGGCTGAGCTGCTGAGCCTGTGGGACTACATTTCCGGGGCTGACCCACCCCCAGGGCTCACAACAAGTCACCCTGGAAGGCCAGGAGTGTGTCATCCCCCAAGGCCTGGGTGCCCCCAACTTTTGGTGACTGCTGCCGTCTATATGGTCAGTAAGACTCTTACCCTGGGGCTGGGAGGAAGGTTTCTAGAGCAGGTGGACTCTACCTGGCTGGAGTGCAGTGAGGAAGCCGGTGTGGTCATCACACAGCCCCCTCCCACCAGGAGTGCTTCACTCCCCTACACTGATGTCCAGCAGCCATTCGAGCCCTAGGAGGACATGAGAACAAGCAGGGACCAGAGTGAGGACCACAGCAGTGCACTCCAGGGAGGCCGTGGAGTCCATCTTTCCCTCAGGGCAGGACAGAGTAGTACAGAGGTGGGGGAGGGTGATGGAAGTGGTGATTTTCACTGGGGGTGGGAGTGAGGGCTGGGGTATTAAAGTGCAGAGTATTAGAATTGGGTGCTGGCATATTTCAGGGGGGCTGGAGTATTTAAAGTTGGAGCAAAATTTTCAACTTGAGGCTGAACTTTAAGGGTAGAGTGGAGCTTTGCCGTAGGGGCTGGAGAACTTCCAAGATTATCGGAGTATTGCACAGTGGGAGCTAAAGGGTTTCGCAAAGGGCTGGGTTATTTCAGAAGGCACTGGCATATTATGGGAGTGGGAGATGACCCGGAGTATTTCAGTGAGATGGTGGAGTCTTCCAGGGTGGCCTAGAATATTTCAGAGGTGAATGAGCATGGTGTATGGCCTTGGAGGCTGCCCAGGGAGCCCCCTTCAGCCCTGAGTTTGCAGGTCAAGGATCCTGGGGGTCCCTGGGAGTCCAGTCTTCTGCTTTCTCCTGCCCAGCAGGGCAGGGCAGGACTGAGCTCTCCAGCTCCACCACGGCAGTCCTTCTGCATGTGCCCAAAAAGTGACACCAGGGACCATGGCCTTGGGGGCCAATGTCTGCTGTTTCTTCCAAGTCAGTGGCACCAAGGGGCAGCCAGTCCCAGGGCATCCAAGGCAGAGAGTCCTGCCTGAATTCTGGGGTGTCCAGGTAAGGATCAGGTCAACCTGGCCATCCCTCTGCCTGTGGGCAGGACTCCCTTACCTCCCCCAGCAGCTCCCTTCCAAGACTGGGACTCCCAGGTAAGTAGGGAGCATTCCTGGGCACAGAACCTTCTGCTTCCAGGGGTGTCTTTGCAGTCTACTTGCATCTCTCCTGGTTTGATGGGAGGCTTGCTTATTTTCAACAGAGTATGAGCATTCTGTTGGGCTCTGCCTCAGTGGCTCCTGGACCTTCCATAATTTGTGAGATCTGAGGCCCTTGGGGGTTAGGAGTGCTTAATACTAGACAGGGTGTCAGTGGGTGGTGGAGGGAAGAGATTAGTGCTGGTTCTGGGTGGCTTCAGCCCCCCAGGGGACAATTCCTGTCCATTACACCAGGCACTGCTTTAGCTACTTACTGGGCTCTCACTTTGACGAGCACGAGCAGAACTATGCCAGCTTCACCAGCTGTTGTTCACACCACAACACATTCCACCTTCCCTAGAGTGAGTGGCCCCAGAGGCTAACTTGATGTAGGCTAGAACCCCTGACACGCTCCCTTCTAGAGCACCAACCCTGTGCCTCCTGTGTCCACACACCCAGCCACGCCCCAGCTGTGCAATGAGGTGGCACAAGGCTGTGGTTTCTCAGTCAGTGTCAGGTGCCAAGCCAGGACCTCCCCCCAAGATTGGGCTGTGTCCTCATCAGCCTGGAGACTGTCCCCTCACCCGCCAGCTGACTGAGGCTCCCTGGGAGTCAGGACACTCCGGGAGTGAGGGCAGGAAGTAGGGGCTCTCAGTGGTCCCCTAGGCCTAATCAGCATGAAAGGAGGGAACGCAACATGGTTCCTCTGAGACAGCGAGACCAGCTTGACTTGGCATATGCCCAAACCTGGAGTTCCTACTAGGAACAAAAGAAGAAAGGGAGGAGGAAACACCATTTATTGAGCACTTACTGTGTGCTAGATCTTGTCTAGACATTTACACATATCTCCCTGTGGTGGAATCACTCTGTTATATAAATAGAGAAACTGAGGCCAGAGAATTCCAGAGGCTCACCCAAGGTTACACAGCTAGTGAATGAGTGAAAAGGCTGGGGTGTGACCCAGAGTCTGTCCGAACCGACTAACATGGCCTCCTCTCCGTAACTGAAATGGGCCTCTAGACAAATCCTGACTCCTCCATCTACTGTCTGGATGACCTTGAACAAGTCGTATAAACTCTTTAAGCCTTAGTCTCCTCATCTGTAATATGGGTATATTAGTAAAAACCCATGTGATGCAATGAATTGAGACGATGCCTGTGAAATGTCTGACATGTAAGTGCACTGTCATTGTTAGACAGTACTAACCTTTGGTGCTTTCACGGAAGAGACATATTCCTGCCCACCTGTTTGAGGAAAGATATAAAACTCTGTTTCCAGGAATCCCCAGTCTGAAGGAGAGACCACTTTGCTTAACATCACCAGGCCCAGGAGAAGGGGGAGGGCAGGATGGAGTGGGCCACAAGCTAGAGAAAATTGGTGTCTAGCACCTGAGACAGGTTAGTTTTAAAAGACTCTTGTAGGGTCAATCTCATTGTCTTTTTTTTTTTCTTTTGAGTCGGAGTCTCATTCTGTCCCCCAGGCTGGAGTGCGGTGGTGCAATCCCGGCTCACTACAACTTCCGCCTCCTGGATTCAAACAATTCTTGTGCCTCAGCCTCCTGAGCAGGCGCCAGCCACGAGGCCCAGCTAATTTTTGTATTTTTAGTAGACAGCGTTTCACCATGTTGGCCAGGCTGGCCTCGAGCTCCTGACCTCAAGTGATCTGCCCGCCTCAGCCTCCCAAAGTGCTGGGATTATACGCATGAACCATAGTGCCTGGCCCATTGTCCCTATTCTACAGATGGGGAAACTGAGGTCCAGAGAGGTCCAAGAATATAGTGACTCAATGAGCAGGCCAAGGCCCTGCACCAGGCATTCAGTCCCCTCTGGCTCAGGGTGGGAGCAGATGTAATATCCCGGGTGCCCCTGTGCCCCACCCCAAGATATATTCTGCACGAAACTGAAACTCTTCAGTTTAGGTGCACCACCATGTGCCAGGAACCCCATGCCAGACTTCATGGAACATGAAGGACCTGGCCCTCAGCCTCCCACTGTATTATATGGATAGAGAAACTGAGGAGCACTCCCACCACTGGCATGGGAGGAGCTATAGCAGCAAGGAGTACCCGGAGCTGCGCAGGGAGAACTTCCTCCTCATCCTCAGGTGGGCCAGGGCTGGCATGGCTCCCACACAGGGCATAGCACCTTTGACTTTGTCATCTGCCCTCTTCTGCATCCTCTTTTTTTTTTAGAGATGGGGTTTCACCATGTTGGCCAGGAGGGTCTTGATCTCTTGACCTTGTGATCCACCCACCTCGGCCTCCCAAAGTGCTGGGATTACAGGCATGCGCCACCACACCCGACCCTCGCTTCTGCATCCTCATGGCCACGCTGCCACCTGATGAGATCATCTCCACTCCACTATTCAGAGGAGGAAACTGAGGTTCAGAGTAGCAGAAGGCTTGCCCAAGGTCATACCAGGAGAATTCCGCAGAGGCAAGACTGGAAAGCAGGCTGGCTGGCTCAACTCCAAGTCCTCAGTCCTGCCCTGCCTTACTTTTAGGCATGAGTCCCCATCTCAACTCCTGCATTCTCCCTGGCAGGACTAAAGAGGGCAGGCCTTCCCTAAGGCCCCCCAGCAGAGCAGCAGACAGGTGGGCTCCCAGCCCTACCTTGTCCCCCAAATACTCTGTTGTTTGGGCTTTTTTTTTTTTTTTAAGAGACAAGATGTTTGTCACCCAGGCTGGAGTGCAATGGCATGATCCTAGCTCACTGCAGCCTCGAACCTCTGAGCTCAAATGATCCCCCTCCTCAGTCTCCTGAGTAGCTAGGACTACAGGTTTGCACCACCACATGCAGCTAATCTTTAATTTTTTTGTACAGACGGGGTCTTGCTATGCTGCCCAGGCTGGTCTTGAACTCCTGGCCTCCAGCAATCCTCCCACCTTGGCCTCCCAAAATACTAGGATTACAGATGTGAGCTTGGCCTGCAC